AGCCCAGGTCCGGATGGGTATACAGCAGAATTTTACAAAACCTTTAAAGAAGAACTAATACCAATACTTTTCAAGCTACTTCAGGAAATAGAAAAGGAGGGAGAACTTCCAAATTCATTCTATGAGGCCAACATCACCCTGATACCTAAACCAGACAAAGACACTTCAAAGAAAGAAAACTACAGACCAATATCTCTAATGAACCTAGATGCAAAAATCCTCAACAAAATTCTGGCGAATCGGATACAAAAACATATCAAAAAAATTGTACACCATGATCAAGTAGGATTCATCCCTGGGATGCAAGGCTGGTTCAATATATGGAAATCAATAAATGTTATTCACCACATCAATAGACTTAAAAATAAGAACCATATGATCATCTCGATAGATGCGGAAAAAGCATTCGACAAAGTACAGCATCCCTTTATGTTCAAAACTCTGGGAAAACAGGAACATACCTCAATATTGTAAAAGCAATCTATGCTAAGCCTCAGGCTAGCATCATTCTGAATGGAGAAAAACTGAAGGCATTCCCTCTAAAATCTGGAACAAGACAGGGATGCCCTCTCTCTCCACTTCTCTTCAACATAGTTCTCGAAACACTGGCCAGAGCAATTAGACAGACGAAAGAAATTAAAGGCATCAAAATAGGAAAAGAAGAACTTAAATTATCACTATTTGCAGATGATATGATTCTATACCTAGCAGACCCAAAAGGCTCTACAAAGAAACTATTAGAGCTAATAAATGAATTCAGCAAAGTGGCAGGATTTAAAATCAACACGCATAAATCAAAGGCATTCCTGTATATCAGCGACAAATCCTCTGAAATGGAAATGAGGACAACCACTCCATTCAAAATATCTTCAAAAAAAATAAAATACTTGGGAATCAACCTAACAAAAGAGGTGAAAGACTTATACAATGAAAACTACAGAACCCTAAAGAGAGAAATAGAAGAAGATCTTAGAAGATGGAAAAATATACCCTGTTCATGGATAGGCAGAACTAACATCATCAAAATGGCGATATTACCAAAAGTTCTCTATAGGTTTAATGCAATGCCAATCAAAATCCCAACGGCATTTCTTGTGGAAATAGAGAAAGCAATCATGAAATTCATATGGAAAAATAAAAGACCCAGAATAGCAAAAACAATGCTAAGCAGGAAGTGTGAATCAGGCGGTATAGCAATACCAGACTTCAAACTATACTACAGAGCAATAGTAACAAAAACAGCATGGTACTGGTACCAAAACAGGCGGGTGGACCAATGGTACAGAATAGAGGACACAGAAACCAATCCACAAAATTACAACTATCTGGGGCTAAAAGCATGCAATGGAGGAAGGATAGCATCTTCAACAAATGGTGCTGGGAAAACTGGAAATCCATATGCAACAAAATGAAACTGAATCCCTTTCTCTCGCCATGCACAAAAGTGAATTCAAAATGGATCAAGGAGCTTGATATCAAATCAGAGACACGCCGTCTGATAGAAGAAAAAGTTGGCTACGATCTACATTCGGTGGGGTCGGGCTCCAAATTCCTCAATAGGACACCCATAGCACAAAAGTTAATAACTAGAATCAACAAATGGGACTTACTCAAACTAAAAAGTTTTTTCTCAGCAAAAGAAACAATAAGAGAGGTAAATAGGGAGCCTACACCCTGGGAACAAATCTTTACTCCTCACACTTCAGATAGAGCCCTAATATGCAGAGTATACAAAGAACTCAAAAAATTAGACAATAAGAGAACAAACAACCCAATCAACAAATGGGCCAAGGACCTGAACAGACACTTCTCAGAGGAGGACATACAGTCAATCAACAAGTACATGAAAAAATGCTCACCATCTCTAGCTGTCAGAGAAATGCAAATCAAAACCACCCTAAGATACCATCTCACTCCAGTAAGATTGGCAGCCATTAGGAAGTCAAACAACAACAAGTGCTGGGGAGGATGTGGGGAAAAGGGTGCACTTGTACATTGCTGGTGGGACTGCAGATTGGTGCAGCCAATTTGGAAAGCAGTATGGAGATTTCTTGGAAAGCTGGGAATGGAGCCACCATTTGACCCAGCTATTCCCCTTCTTGGTCTATTCCCTAAAGACCTAAAAAGAGCATGCTACAGGGACACTGCTACATGGATGTTCATAGCAGCACAGTTCACAATAGCAAGACTGTGGAACCAACCTAGATGCCCTTCAATAGATGAATGGATAAAAAAAATGTGGCATTTATACACAATGGAGTATTACTCTGCATTAAAAAATGACAAAATCATAGAATTTACAGGGAAATGGATGGCATTAGAGCAGATTATGCTAAGTGAAGCTAGCCAATCCCTGAAAAACAAATGCCAAATGTCTTCTTTGATATAAGGAAAGTAACTAAGAACAGAGTAGGGACGAAGAGCAGGAGAAGAAGATTAACATTTAACAGGGATGAGAGGTGGGAGGGAAAGGGAGAGAGAAGGGAAATTGCACGGTAATGGAAGGAGACCCTCAGGGTTATACAGTGGAGGGGGTAGAGAGAGAGGAGGGGAGGGGAGGGGAGAGGTGGGGAGGGGGGAGGGTGGAGGATGGGAAAGGCAGCGGAGCACAACAGACACTAGTATGGCAATTTGTAAATCAATGGATGTGTAACTGATGTGATTCTGCAATCTGTGTATGGGGTGAAGGTGGGAGTTCATAACCCACTTGAATCAAAGTGTGGAATATGATATGTCAAGAAATTTGTAATGTTTTGAACAACCCACAATAAAAAATTAAAAAAAAAAAAAAGAGACAACGGAAACTATTTCTTGCCTTGAGAAGTAATTCACTCTTTCAGTACAGATAAAATAAATTCCTTTGAGTTGTTACCAGAATATCATATTATTAAAATTCCTGTGAGGTAACAGATTTTCTAAGATAAGTTCATATATAAAAGCCAGGCTCAATGGCTCATCTTATAATCCCATCAACTCACTGAGATAGGAAGATTATAAATTCCAGGCTAGCCCAGGCAATTTAATGAGACCCTGTCTCAAAATAAAAAATAAAAAAGGATGGGATGTAGTTCAGTGGTGGAGTGAATTCCTAGTACATTAAAAAATTATATATAAGATTCAAATGGGAAATTCTGGGAATGATTTTTTTCATCTTTGAGAATTAAAGTGAGTTTCCATTTTTATTCCTGGGTGCAGACATATATCACACATAAGTGATGGATACATATGGCATTAAAATATTTCTTATTATAGGAAATATATTGTTGAACTTTCATAGATATTTCCTGTTATTAAACCAATGTTGATTGTCAATAGTGACATTCTGTGCTCTAATTGTGTGGTTCATCTATTTATGTGTTAACAACTATACAGTTAAAATATCAAAGACCCTATAAGCCTAAAATATTCAGTACAGATTATTCATTTTTTAGACTTTTTTTTTTTTACTACCCACTGTGTGCCATGTATTGTGCTAGATGTTAGGGATTCATCTGTAATAAGCCAGAGTCCTGCCCTGATAAACGAAGAAGACAATTAGATGACAGTGCACTAAGTATATAATAAGGCAAGTTCCTGTGGTAGAGGAGAAGTAGGGTGGGATACTAGTAGAATACATCTGCAGGGCTAGTTCAGCTCACACACACCTCTCCCTGGAAGCTACCTTCCATTTCTGTGCCACAGCCTTGGTGCACCTCCAACCCTGGCCACAGGTGACTGATCCCAGCCACAGAAGTTCTGACCCAGGCTAGAACTCAGAGAAGCTGGATCAGTTAGCTATGGCAGATGAGTAAGTATGGTTATGCACCTTCAGGAACTGAGGTGGTTGTTTGAGGTTCTGTTATAAGTAGAGAAAAGAAGGGTGCTCGAAGAAGTCTGGGGATGCAATACACTTGGGAGAGATCTGCTTCCAAGCTGGCCAACTAGTGTGCCTGGCAAGTTGGTGCTGGCTCTTAACAGGAAGCTTCAGATCTCTGCACCACTTCTTGAAGCATGGCAGCTGGCTTTCTTGACAACACACTATCAAGGAACTGAAGCAGAAGCTGCAATGCCTTTTATGACCTAGTCCCAGAAGTCATATATCATTGTTTTTGCTATATTTGTTGCCAGGTCATCCCTGATTCACTGTGGAAGTAGTCTGTTGAAGGCCTTCCTTGAAGGCTTTCATTATTTTTCAACAATTTGAAAGAAACCCAACTACCTTCCTAGACAAGGACCTCAACATACATAATATTGGAAATGCCAATTGGAAAGTGACAATATCAATCTGCCTCAAGGGGATAGAAAAGTGTGTGTAAGGACCAAAAAGGAAGAACAAGATTTAAATTTGCCCGCCATACATCTATTAAGCACTACTGTGGGCTGAGTAGTGTCAAGAGGGATGACATATACATACACATCAGGCCAAAGGACCAGAAATTACTTTTTATTGTATAAGAAATTAACTTTCTTTGGTTCCTGCTACAATTGAACCATTGTGAAGTTTTGCATAGCATATGGACTTTGGGGAAAGTCTTTGAGGAAGACTGAACACCTCTGGAGTAGTCTTAAATTGAAAGACAATCATTTTAGTCAGCTAGAAAGACCTAACAAGAATAATTTTTTTTGAAAGAGAGAGAGAGAGAGAGAGAGAGAGAGAGAGAGAGAGAGAGAGAGAGAGAGAGAGAGAGAGAGAAAGAGAGAGAGAATTTTTAATATTTATTTTTCAGTTTTCGGTAGACCCAACATCTTTATTTTATTTTTATGTGGTGCTGAGGATTGAACCCAGCGCCCCTTGCACGCCAAGCGAGCCCGCTACCGCTTGAGCCACATCCCAGCCCTAACAAGAAAAATTTTAAGGAGGAAAAGTTGATTTGGAAGTCATGGCTTCAAAGGTCTCAGTCCATAGATGGCCAATTCCATTCCCTGGGGCCTAGGGTGAGGCAGAACATCATGATGGAAAGGTGTGATAGAGGAAAGGAGCTGAGAACATGGCACCAGGAAGCAACAGGGAAGAGGTGGGTTGAGAGGGAAAGGTAGAGAGAATGAGCTCTGCTCAACAAGGACAAAATATATACACCAAAGGCCGGCTCCCAGGGACCCATTTCCTCTAGCCACACCTTACCTGCACATAGTTACCACCCAGTTAATCTCTATCAGGATTAACACACTGATTAGGTTCAGGCTCAATCATTGAGTTCAATCAATAATTGGATTCAATCATTTCACCTCTAAACCCTTTTGCATTGATTCAACACAAGCTTTTAGGAAACACCTTATATCTAAACCAAGATTCTAAGTCTTAGAACTTAAGATTTACTCTTAAAACTTAGAACTCTGGGGAGTCTTGTGATTTTGGGGTGATTTGTTGGATAGCCAGCTTGCAGCATCATCTGTGTTTTATACGTAGCCACTATATTTTTAAAGAAAAAATATATGATATTGAAATTAGAACTGGCACTGAAATATTTATCCTGCTCTTGAATATATGAACAATTCTATTTCTGGCTTCATATACATAGCAAATTAACTATGGGGGAGTATAAATAATTAACATAGAATTATAGAATTCTCAGGGATAGCATAGAATTCTCTGAGTTCCATAGGAGACGGATACCTTTTTTTAGTTGCTCAAAGAAAAGAAGAAGAAAACCCAGGGGAGGATTGAATTTTAAGTGCTTTCTTTTTACGGTACTCTCATATATATAAAGAAATACACTCATCATAGTTCTCAGAATTTAAAAAATTGAACATTGCTAATTCTTAAAAATAAATTCTCTTGAAGTATCCTAGAGTCAATGGAGGTAAATAATCTCCAATAGCAAGGTGAAAAATAAATAAATAAGGTAAAAGAATCAGAGAAGACAAATGGAAGCAAAAACAAAGACACTAGATGAGGTGGGTATTCCAAGTACTTTTTAAGAACAATTCAGACAAGATATGGGTATAGAGTGGAATCTATACAGTCAAAAAAAAAAAAAAAAAGGCACTGGAATGTGTAAAGTCAACTACCACATACTTAAAAGATAATCAGATTTAGGGCTCAATGTGACTCTAGTGACCCCTGCTGGAGCCTATCTTATTTTTCAACTCCACAACTTAAATAAGAGCTCTATGTAAGGATAATTCAAATTTTCATAGAATTGAGTTTGAAAATTGAGAGAAGACTCATAAGACATTTAGCATTACCTCATTATTTCAAACTTGATATGACAGGCCTTGGTCCAGATAGGTTAAATGTCTTGTTTTAGGTCACACAACTGGAATTAATAGAATAAAAGACATCTCATCAATTTATGGGCCTGTTTACAAAAGTAGTTTTCTTTTACAATGAACGTATCCAGAACACACAAAATGAGGAGGCTAAGTTAAATCTCAGGAATTTAAATGCTAATTTAAAAATATTCACTGAATTTTGTTAACTAGGAAAATTTTGCTGAAAATATAATTTCCTAATCAATATAAACATGACATTTTGAATACTAACTCGACATTTTTGAAATGTCAAGTTATTCTGTCCTTCATTAGATTACCTGTGTTCCCTATCTCTGCCATTTTAATCTTTGTGAAATATTTCTTTGGGCTTCAGTATGTTTTTATGTTTTTCTCTTTCTCTACCTCTAAAATGATTGGTAAAGTACCAAGAAAAAAGGACAAAAAGGAAACATCACAGATAGTAATGGTTCTTACAACAGGGTTTCTGGAAAGCCTGACTGTGACTCTTACCCCCTACTCAGTGCTCTGGGACCACCCATTCCTGAGGGCTCTTTGCTTCTTTATTTTCCTTCCAGCAATCAACATTTCTCTTTCATCCCTCCCAAAACCAGAGCTTCTCAGACATATCATACCTACAAACTTGGGCATTCATTCTTCTGTCAGTGTACTAGAAAGTAGATCCTTCTCCCTGCCTATATTCTTAGGAAGTTACAGAAGTTTTGACAAAACTCCCTTCTTCCACATTTCAGTTATTATCTTTAAATTAGGCATAATAATATCAGTTATGTTTACAGTGGATCTGTGAGGACCTTTGTAATTTTTTCTCCTCCAACTATTTAAGCAAGTAGTGGTTCCTTTTCTTTTTTCTTTGCTTCTAAAACTTTTTGGATGGAGAACATTTAAAACTATCTGAGGTTTAAATTTTTTCTTATATTTTATAGAAGATTATACAAGGAACCCTGGAAAAGAAAGGGAGAGGAAGTCTTTAAGAGAACAAAATAGAAGTTTGTCTTATTTAGACTAGCAAGGTTATAGAGTTTTACGATATTCATGACCAATGGAAGTACGGTTGAACCTACTCTGATGTTCTCCCCAGAGAGGGTACCAAAAATCCCAGGATAGAATTTTATGATGTATGCATCAAAATTTGATGGTCTACCCTGCCTGGCAGAGAAAGACTCAGAAGTAGGAATTTACATTGATTCATGGGTAAGTGGCTATTTGGCCACAGAGTCAGAGACTGAAAAATGGCATTGGAATATTGGTTAAAAGGAAGTCTGAGGAAGTTTTAGAATGGGCCTCTCAGAGTAGGTAGAGTGAGGATATTTGTGTCCCAAATGAATGTTACTTTACTGTAAAGAAAGTTTCAATAACCAAAAGTCATCAATATGGTCAACCCTGTGGATACCAGTTGGCTGCCTTCCTCATTTACCCTGATACTTGTACAATGGGCTCTTGAATATAGTGGCCCTGGGAATAGGAATATTGATTATGTGTGGCATCTAGAAAATGGGCTTCCCATCACCAAGACTGATCTGGTTACTACTGATGAATGCCAATCTTCACCAATGTCAGAGCTAACACTGAATTTCTAGCAGGTGCTCAGCACCTGCCAGTGACTTGATGGCAGATGGATTGCACTGGATCTCTTATCATCATGGAGGACCTCTATCCATCCTGGATACGGATCTGTCTTCTTTTTCTGTAATATTTCTTCTCACATCACTATCCATGGACTTAGGAATTGCCTTGATCGCTTTCTTAGAATCTCATAAAGTATTGCCTCTGACTAATGAACTTCAAGAACCAGAATTGAAGAAATTATTTCATGCCCACAGGAAGACACAATGATGGAATGATTTACTGACAATTTATTTATGTTGCCACCAGTGAGACTGCAGAGCTATCCCACAGTTATGGTATACTCTCTGAGCTAGCAACTAATGTATATATAATGCTATTTCTTTGATAGCTAGAATTACTTAGAATAAAGAACCACAATGTAGGAGCTGTAGTGACTTCTTCACTATTATTCCTCATGTCCTACCTTTGTTTCTAAGCCCACAATATTGTGCTCTTTGTTTCCAAGGAGGAATATTTCCTTTAGGACATACCAGAAGGATTTGTTGAATGGAAACCGAGGCTGCCCTATCACTTACCTTGGGATCTTTATGCCAGCGAATTGCCATATTGTCTAGGTAATAAATCATGATTATAAAATGGGAAAAGGGTTAGAACTACATAGTTAGGTGGGGGATTATGTCTAGAAGCTAAGGGACTCTCTTGGACAAGTTTTAGTACTCTATTGGTAAGAGTTACTGGAAAGTTAAAGTGAGATAAGTAAGAATCAATAGTGGTTAAGATATTTCAGGAGTGAAGGTTTTGGTTACCTTAGACTGATATATACTCACAACTAGCAAAAGTATTAGCTGAAGGCAAGGGGAACATGGGAAAGGGGATGGAAGAAGAATTGCTAATATATACTATCACCTCATAAATTGTGTAGAAATTAGGACTTTATCATGCATATTTTTCAGTTTTTTCTTTCTCCTTTTTTCTTTGAGGTCTTCTAGGATTTGAAGGAAGGTCTGGAAGATCTGGGTCTGGAAGAAGTGGAAGTAGTGGGGATTAACCTTGAGGAGATTCATTTTTCTTTTGAAAGTCAATAGTCACAGGTGAAATCATTATAGTTTATCAGGTAATGAAAATCTAAAACCATCAGGCAGAGGAGCAGGATTGCTCCTACTAACAACTAGGACTCAGTGGGGGTTGGTAATTCAACCTAGTTAAATTCATTAGAATCTACCCAAATATTTCCATTCTCAGGATCCCTTTTTAATCAATGCTTCGAAAGGCTGTATTGTAGTATTTCTCATAGAAGCAAGATTATAAATGGTGCTTTCACTTCCACATTAGCTCCTCAAAGCCTATTTAACCCCAAAGGATACTGAAATGCACTACTATTTGTATATAAAATATAGTAAATTTCTGACAAAATTATTTGTAGACTTTAACTGAATACCAGGAAAACGAATTACTACCAAAATGTTGTTTTTATGGTACAATATATTTCAACTCTAATGCACAATACTTTAAATGTCCTTCTTTCCCTGCCACTCAAGTATATATGTCCTACTGTGGTATCCATGGCTGAAAGGGAATAAAAGATACTTGGGATAAAAAAGAATCACTCAGTAGCTTGGAACATATTTATTTGGCAGTGGTGAGAGGCTTTACAGTCAGGCTGATCAGGAAAATTAAAAGAATTTTTTTCCTGTGGCCTTTTATTATTTGCTTACTGACCACCCCTCACCCACTGCCATGGGAGGCCACCAGAAGCAGCATTCACTCCATTTTTTTTTTTTAAAGATAGAACTCTCTTTTCTTTTTTGGTAATGGGGGTGGGGGAGTTTGAACCCACAGGGGCTTAACCACTGAGCCACATCCCCAGCCCTTTTTATTTTTTGAGATAGTGTCTTAGTAAACTGATGAGGACCTCCCTAAGTAGTTGAGGCTGGCTTTGAACTTGCAATCATTCTGCTTCAGCCTCTCAAGTCTCTGAGATCATAGGCATGTACCACTGCACCCAGCTAGAACCCTCTTTTCTTTTTTTAAAATTTTTTTATTAGTTGCTCAAAACATTCAAGGTAAGAGTTACTAGAAGGTTAAAACTGATGAGGACCTCCCTAAGTAGTTGAGGCTGGCTTTGAACTTGCAATCATTCTGCTTCAGCCTCTCAAGTCTCTGAGATCATAGGCATGTACCACTGCACCCAGCTAGAACCCTCTTTTCTTTTTTTTAAATTTTTTTGTTAGTTGCTCAAAACATTCAAGGTAAGAGTTACTAGAAGGTTAAAGTGAGCTAAGTAAGAGTTACTGGAAGGTTAAAGTGAGCTTAAGTAAGAATTACTTATTGTATACTCTTTAATTATTCTATACTCTTTTCAGGAACACCTATTCTTTCTTTCATAATCAGTATTTTACTGAATGCCAACTAAGGGCCACTCAGCAAGAAAGCATCAAAACCAAGGTTCAAAGTTAGGTTCATTTTACTCTCAGGATCCTTTCTCTATGTTCTTCAGTATTTTCTAGGAAAATACAATCACTTTAAATAGTCTACATCTGGCATTTTTCATCAATTTATCATGATAAATTGTTACTTCCTATCTTTTTTTTTTTTTTTTTTGAGAGCAGTGTTGTCAAACCAGACAGCATATTAAAATCACCTGGGCTCTCTTCCAGAGCAATTAAATTTGACTCTCTGAGGGCAGAACTTTTTGTTTTTTAAAGTTTCCCATTTTATTCTAATGTACACCCAGGGTTGAGAACCACTCATGTAGTGTAATATAAGGAAAACAGACTTTGAGTCTCAAGCCTAGGCTTGAAGTCAAAATTTATAATTTGCTGTCTGTCTGACTTTGATACAAGGTATTTACTTGCTTTAAAAGAGCAGACTGTTTTTACTACACAAAAAAGTAAGTGAGTGAGGTAATATTAAATAGCCTGATTTGGCTATTCCACAATGTGTGTGTATGTATGTGTGTGTGTGTGTGTGTGTATATATATATCAAAACATCATGTTGTACACCATAAATACACAAAATTTTTACTTGTCAATTAAAAATAATTTTAAAACATGTATACAGTAAATTCACAAGGATTAGAGCATATTTGAGCATCTTACATTATTTCTGGAATATGGTAGAAACACAGTAAATAGTAGCATTGATTCTGTGAGCGTGGTGTAGTGGAAAGAAAGTGGGTTTGGAGTGGAAGAGATCTGATTTCAAATCCTAGTCCTACTATTTCAAGTATTTGGTAAATTAAATGTTCTGTGCTTTAGTTTAGTAATTGCATAATGATTAGAATAACTCTATCTTAATAAATTGTTGTGCATATTAAATAATGTTGTAAAACACATGGCACATTTCCTCTATTGTTTTTAACCTAGTTATGCTAGTAATACAGTCACTAGAAACACTTACAGAGATTTCCTGTATTTATAAGTGTTCTGTGTTAACTGTGGAAAGGTAGGTTCTCTGTTTAGTACAATAAATTTATATAATAGTATAGAGTCTACTTATTCTATACTATTTGCTACTGTACTATATAATAAAGCATAAGATTTGGTGCCTGGGTTTGATAAGGGGCTTATGGAAATGAAGGCAAATGGAACCTCTTGGGTCTGTGAGCTAAGAGAAATGCAGGCATCTGGATTCTTCCATCCATGCAGTGAGGAGGAGTTGTTGCCTGGACCTGACCTCAAGTGCAGACCAAAGTGGCCCAGAACACAGGGTGAAGCCAGGCTGGACTGTCACCACTGGCTTCAGGCAGCAAAGTCTAGAGCAGTCATCAGCTGCTTACATCTCAGTGCCATCAATGCCGTAGTAGTAGGGGTTTGCAATCAAGATGGAATGTGTCAGCAGTGTTAAAACAAACATCCCTGCTTCATCTTCAGAACAAAATCTATAAATAGTAGATTTGGACATGGCTCATACCAGACCCTTGTATAATTATCTGTCTTCACAGGATGTGCCTGGCACATAGGGCCGAAGAACCTGGAGCAGTGCCTGACATACACAAGGTACTCAATAAGTGTTCCTTGAATTGAACTGACTGGTGTCCTCTGCTTGGAACACTTTCTTGACTGGAACTGGATGTTAACATTTATTGGGTCTTACTGAGTGCAGCCCTGTGCTAGACACCGTATATAGCGATCACCTCATCCACTTGGCTAATTCATGCTCATCCTTCAAGATCTAGCTCAAATGTCACCTATTCTGTTAAACTATCTTGATTCCCTCCAGCAGAGTCGTCTGTGTTTTTGCAGACAGCTCTTTGCTCAGTCTTCAGAAGAGTACTTACCACTTTCTACTTTAACATATCTGTTTACAAGTCTGTCTCCCCCACTGGAATGTGAGGTCATTAGGGGCATCATGTCTTTAATAATTTTGTCTTTGTCAATAGTACTTAGCATATAACATGATGAAATTAATTTTTAAACACTCTCAGTTTTGCTGACTAAATAATAAGTCACATTTATTCAAAGAACTACATCCTTTGACACAAAACCAGCTTGTATTTTTATATAACTGAGAAAGGACAATTTTTATATAATTGAAGAAGAATGAGTTCTATATATTTGCATATATCAGCTGTACAGACTAGCACCTCACAGGAAGTGCCTAACAAGAAGTTCCTAGTACTTATCCAAAGGGTACCAAAAGAGTGTTCTCTATTTTACCTGGCCATCATCTACTGGCAGGTTCAACAGGCTGCAATAAAGAGAAACATAAGAAGATTTACACACACACACACACACACACACACACACACACACACCCCGCTCATTTTTTAAATGTATTTTGTTTTCATTTTCAGGTGGACACAATATCTTTATTTTTATGTGGTGCTGAGGATCGAATCTACTGCCTCACGTGTTCCAGGCGAGCGCTCTACCACTAAGCCCCAGCCCCAGCCCCAGCCCCAGCTCCAGCTCATTTTTCACTGAAGTGTTAGTACCCAAAGTCTTAAACTCAACAAATACAAATGCTCCTCAACCTACAATGGGGCCTTGATAAATTCATCATAAATTGAAAATATCATAAGTCAAAACCTATTCAATACATGTAACCTACAAACATCATAACTTAGCAAGATAGAACATTGTTGAATGTTGGTTATTTATCTTTGCAACTGTGTGACTCAGGAATGGTGTCTTGTTGCTCTGCCCAGCATCGCAAAAGAATACCACACTACATATTGCTAGCCTGTGCTATGGTTTTGATCTTAAATGATCTCCAAAAGCTGAGTTGCTAAAGGCTTGGTTGCCAGGCTGTGGCACTATTGGGAGGTGGTAGAACCATTTGGAGGTGGGGCCTAGTGGAAATAAGAAACGGGGACATGACCTTGAAGGAGATATTGGGATGCCAGGCATGATGTGGTGAGCAGCTGGAAAACTGACTCACACAGTCTGGGAAAAGTTAAAGTTAAAAATTTGAAAAATTTGAAAATTTGTTTCTACTGAATGCCTATCACTTTGATTGTATAAGATGAAGAACCTTGTAGAGTTTTGTGAGAATAAAAGGAATCTTAGTCAGATGGACTTATTGTCCAGCTGAAATAATTTATAATATTTGCTGTATGTTCAGCAACCCATGCCAAACCACATCCTATAACCTTCCAGCTTTGTGACTCCTTTATTCTCACTGAACAGTGAGGTTCAGAGAGCTTAGTGAGAAAAATTCCTTGATTCTCTGGTGTTTGACATGAGCAACTGGCTCAATGGTGGTGCCATTTACTGATTGGATGGGGAGGAGAGACCTGGTAAATCAAAGAGTTCTGCGTTGACATGTTAAATGGGAATTCATTTTAACTATCCAAAAGGGATACTGATTGTTGAATATGAGTCTGGAGCAAAGACCAGCAAATTTTAATATTAAAGGAAGTGTATCTACAGCAAATATAACTTCTCTATTTTTGTTTTTATAAAATTGATTCTGTTCTAAAAATTACCTTCCCATTTATCATATTATATTCATCAATATATGTTAGTATATATAGATTTACCTGGAGATACTATAATTTATTTAATTAATTTCTAA